TTCGTACCAATTCGGCAGTTACCGAACAATAGCCCAAAACAATATTTTTGACTGTAAATTCAAGTAAAATTTTATGTATATATTTTTAATTTTTATTATTTTTAAAAATTAAAAATTCTTTTTTACATCAAATATAATTTTTACATTTTTTTCAATTTTTGATATAAATTTCTGAAAATCAAACGGGTTTGCGCGAAAAAATCAATATTTTTCAAAAACCTTCGCGGGCCGGATAAAATCACCTGCCGGGCTGGGTCTGGCCCGCGGGCCAAAGTTTGGACACCTCTGGTATAGATTGATCTTTGTATTTAATAAAGTTTGTTTAAACATTTTTAGATAAGTGATATTAATTAAACTTTTTTTAAACTGTAAGCAAGCAATCATTTGTAAAATGACAAATGAAATACAGCAAGACATTTATCTCAGTACTCTAAAAATTCAGTATTTGAACATAAATTCCAGAAAAAAATCGTTCAGTACTCAACTGAACAAATGTGACCCACTAGAAAAAATTTTCGATTAATAACATATTTTTATTTTGTCATTCATAAAAATTTTCTATGATAAAAATAAAAAATACGAAAATGTTGCTGATACTTCTGATCAAGATCAACAAAAAAGCTGAGATGATGACGATACTTTGTAAAAAGAAAATGCCCTTGTTTAACAAAAATTAATTTTAATGTGTAATACAGTACTTTTAATTGTGATGTTAATTAATTATTGATTGGAAATAAATTATTGATTGCTTTAATAAACATATTTCTCTTAGCAATAAAAAGAATAGTGTACTTTACTTTTGTGAGATAAGCCGGGGGTACAATCTGTAGAAGGTGTACCACTTAATCGGCACAAAATCGCAAGATTCGATCTCTAAACTTTTTCTAGGAGAACGGTTTTATTGGAATTAGATGATCGTGTAATCACCCTCTTCCTTCCATCAGGATTCCCGACACCAGTTAATCAAACTTATGGTACGCAGATTACACGCGTATTGATTAAAGAAGGAGATGATGAAATGTGTTTGATTTAGATATCGAAGAGACATTTCTTTAACAAATAAAAACAAAAATTTAATGAACAAATTAAACAAAATAATACAAAATTAAATATGCAAATAAAGCGATTTCAAGAACTTCGAATAAAGCTGTTTCAAGAGAAAGAGCTCACAATTTCTATCATAAATCATACCACCTCTATGAATCTTTATCTATCTTCTGTTCTTTAGATGAATATGACTATTCTTTCTTCTTAGTCCATCAATGGCACATATTTAAATAATTTCTTCCCTATTTACTGACTTAAACTCATTTTATAGAAACTTCTAGATTCGACTTTGGGCGTTGGCCTTCAGGAGATATGGAATACGTCTTCCTTCTCTCGAATTTTGTGGCGTACTCCTAAGGGCGTTGGCCTTAGGGAGTCAAATGGAATACAACTGTCTTCTATGAGATCTTCAGGCGTACTCCCCGAATCATGCAAAATTCTTTATTTTTTCTTGTGAATTTTCTCTAATCAGCATTTCGTATGTTTCCACGTGAACAGAGGAAAAGGGGATTTATCGAGGAGTTGACAATTCCCAGGGTGACTAAGATTTTTAGTATATAAGGGAAAACAAAAGGATGTTTCAACTTCCATTGAAGGAAGTGACTTTTTCCAGTTTCCTTCATTTTAGAAAAAATAATTTTCCCACCAAAATCAAAGAATATTTTTCATTTAAAATTTTACTTTTTAATTAAATTGTTAATTAATCACGGGGGGCAATTCGCCTCTCACACTTTTGCTAACTTCTGGAAAGTAACTCCATGTTTTGCATTAGTCCTTTGTTTCATATAGCATGGATTTGCATGACACAGCACTTCTTTGGAATGTAACTACTGTATTATACCAGGGATACCTATATTTGGAATTCAGTAATGATGTAATTGATCTGTGTTCATTACATCCTTAGTTATTATAGTATTAATTTTAAATTTATTTTATTTATTTTTGTTCATTAATTTATGTAGTTTATTCTTATAAATGATAAACTATATTGAACAGTTTTAAATTTATATACAACTAATGTAGGGACATGTAGCAGGAAAAAGACCAGTGGGTTATAGTGACATTATTAAAGAAAATGCCTCATTTGAACGTTATTATAAGGTAAAGTAATTGTGGATCACTTAATTCAAGATGATTCAACTTATTTTAATAAATATATAAAAGTATCAAACATTTAATTTTTTAAAAAGAATTTAAATAATGAATTTGAAAATTTTTATTAAATTTTAGGAACAACATATTGTACCTGAAGAGGAATGGGAAATGTTTATGGCTGCACTTAGGGACAATCTGCCAACTGCTTTTAGAATTACAGGATATCGAGGGTAGATCTAAAAATAAGTGATTAAACCATTGAAATCATTTGAAATCAATTTATAAAAAATTATTAGCTACTGCATCTGATGTGATATGTGTTATTTTATATATTGATTCATTATAAAATAAAAAAAATTTTCAATGATTTCATTTTGATTTGATCACTTGATTAAATTGAAGTTTTATAATAGTTAAAAACAGTATATTATTTATTATGTGTATTTATTTTTTATAGTCAAGCCAATGCACTTTTAAAAGTCATTCAAGGCCAATATTTTCAAGATCTTCTTAATGTAAATGTAGAAGAAGAAGAATATACCAAACCATATTGTTTACCATGGTGAGAAATAATTCATTAAATATGTGTTTAAAATTTTTTCTTTGGAAGAAACTTTTATTAGCAATTCATCTATTTTGTGTCCCTTCATTTGTGATTAAATATCTCACTGCTTAAAATGTCAGAGAAGTGGATTAGAAGGAGCTAAGTTATATTACAGTCGACCCCCTTATAACACGGTAGATACGTTCCATTCTTTATGAAATTGATGTTCTACGAGTCCTTAAATACATGAGCCAATCACAGCCCAGCATGTGTGCAGTTTATGGTTTATGGCTGTTTGAAAGGTTTTCATCCATAAAATTAATCGATTCTAGACTAATTTGACTCAACATTTCCAAAATATGTATAATTTCTTGGGAATAATCCATATAAACTGTGCTATAAACAAAAAATTGTAGGATTACTTACCGAGTGTGCGCCGTTCAATGACGCCATTGCTTAAGCTTGTTTTTGTCGTGGAGCGGTGCATTGAATGGTGCTCATGTGCTTCCTGATAAATTATTTTTCTGCGAAAAATTTGCTGAACTTTGGAGACATCATTAATATAAATATAATTTTTATGGTCGTTAAATAATAAATGGTTTTTAGTAGGTCTGCTGCTCGTTGAAACTCAATGGTTTGTGCAATATCCGCTATTGGTCTAGATTCGACCAATCCTGTCACGACACAAGTGGGCGATGACGTTTTACTGAATTATACGAGTCCTTTTAGCGTGTTTATACGAATATGGTTGCAATTTTTTTCGCTGCCATATAGGAATCCGAACTATATGAAGCTGCTTTATAGGGGGTCTACTGTATTAGAAAAGTTAGGAGATGAAAATTTTTCATAAAGAACGTACTGAAAAAATTTAAATATTTGAAAAGATCCTGGATTTCAATTCAATGAACAAAAAAGATAATGATTTTTTGCCAATGGCATGGAAATGACTGACTGAAAAACAAAGATTCATTTAGTTAAAAGAATTTTTGTTATCCTAACTTTTACTAATGGAGGTCAGTTGTAGTTAGAAAGTTTATTTAAGTGTGCTTGCATTCTGTATTTTGTGGTTATACTGGAGATTTTCAAGTCTTGAAAAAGGTATAATTTAAAATTTCTAATTACTAGATTTTTAAAGAAATTTCCAGTGTGCACATTTTGAGGTCTGTCTTAATTGTTTGAAACATGCTAGTTTTAGAAATTTTGGTTTAAAATATGATATAAAATATATAACAGTGTATTTTTCAATTTTGTTTTAGTTTATCAGTTTAAATTTTAGAATTTAAGTTCTAGAGCTGGAAAATACTAGAATTATGGTACTTTACATTTCATCCATAAGACATACATAATTCATACTAATCTTATGTTTTCTGTTATTAGAAATCTGAGGATTATTACATATATTAATTGAAAATGTCATTATTTGCTGAAATTAATTTGCTTTGCAATTGATAACAATTGCAGCTCCAGTATTAGCTATTGGAGTAAATAATTATNCCTTTCTTGTAATTTTGGTGATAACAGAAGATCTAACATGATCTGAGAGACAGAGCTGGTAAAGTATGCTGCTAAAGCATCCCTCACCAGCTGTCTCCATGATCCATAAGCTCTCTCTTGCTCATTAAGGATGTTCCTCCTGAAGGGTCACCCTGAAACTTTCCTGAAGGATGAGTGAAGGAAGATAACTGTGATCCTCAGAACGAAATGGACTTCCCAATATGGATTCTTTACCAAGGCAGTGTCATCTGTAGAGTCTAATTAATGTATGCAGGAGTCTAGATATGATATAGTTATTTAACATTTATGCTTGCTTACATTTGACACACAAACTATTGATTTTTCAACCAACTTAACTAAAAAAAAATTTTCACTGAAACTGATTTTTTGATTTTCATGCATTTCTATGATTACTTTTAGTGATGCCACAAATAGTGATTTTGCCAAATACTGAATATTCAGCTACGCTCTCAGCCGAAGCGCCGAATGTTCAGCAAAATATGTGTACATTTTGTAGGTGACAGGTTACGACATGCATTATTTGTTCATTGTTACATCAAATTATGTTAGTAATAGTCCTTATTACTAAAAAATATTACTGTTTGTATCATTTTATATGAAAACTGTTTGCCTAGATCAGACGGCAGACCTTTACAAGTGGTGGTCAGCAAACGCAAAACAGTATCCAAGCCTGACAGAATTCACTAAGATTTGTCTATCTTCTCCTGTCAATAGTGTATATAGAGAGAGGCTATTTTCAGAAGCAGGTATAGTTTATGAGGAAAAGCACTATCGTTTGCTATCAACAAATGCTGAAAAAATTTTTTTCATTCATCACAACTTACCACTGATAGATTTTAAGTATTAAACGTAATAATTTGTGATTAAAATATGTTTTTGTGTAATATGGGTTTTTTTTTTTTTCATGATTTGGTATTTGACTGAATACTGAATATTAAAAAAAATAGATGAATAGGCCAAATACCGAATAGTAGCCAAATATTTGTGGCATCTCTAATTACTTTAATCCTGCTTTGCCAAATTTTAACTAATTTGACAACAATTTTATCTGAATACATATCTTCTGTTAGTTTTGTGAAGAATTTCAAAAATGTAATAAAAAATGACACATCAGTTAAAAGCTTATCACTTCATAGAACATAATGAGATTTGTGTCCCTGTAAGACCTATACTACATGTTGTGTTAAAACAAAAAAAAATGCAGCAATGAGTTGGGAAAGCTGCAAATGAATTTAAATTGTGTGTCTGTTACAATATTTTATTTAAAAACTTTTTATATTATTAATTATTATAAAATGGCAAAAAGCTTAATTAATGTTGAGGGTAGAGGTGAGTTTTATAAAAAAAAAAATGTATATAGAGATTTCATTCGTTATTAACAGTAACTTCTACCCTTTTCGAGATAGACCATCCCTTCTATATCTCCACTTTCTCGATCTTTCACGAAAAAAATTCAATAGCAGCGATGCCCCTCATATACAAGCCACTATGCCAAATTTTGTTTCTTAATCTTTACCTCATCCTGAGATATTACGCAAAATACATGCAAGCATACACACACATCTACGAAATTTCTTTGCTGTTTTGTTATTTACAATTTGCATTCAGTAAGTCTCAAAACGTGGAGGTGTATCAAATTTGACTATGTGAGTTTTCTGCAAAATATCCAAACTTTCCATTGTTAGACCTATTTATAGTTAAAAGCCGGGAAAGTAAAATGAGTCACGATTTTAAGGCTACTTTTAGTAACGGAATCTTTTTGCGATTTCAATTTCTGAATACCCGTACGGCGGAAAGGGAATCCTGGCAGTTAAGGGGCAATATTATAAACGGGAACGTGGCTCCGAGTCAATCAGGTTGTTCTAGAGTCTGTTGGAACTTTAGCTTGGAGAGTCAACTGATCTATGTAGTTCGGACAGATTAGTCTTCTACCTGGCTACGCTGTAATTATATAGCTCCAGCGAAACCGTGGTGCGTTAGTAGGTGTTGCACAGGGCATAGCATCCCGTTTTTGGACTTGGTAATGGTTCGGGTCACCAGAAGCTGAAATTATTTCTTTAATTATGAACTCACTAACAACCAAACATCGACACACTG